ATAAAACCTAAGATTAATGATTTGTTTAGAAAAGAATTTGGATATTAATATTTAGAAAAATTGTGAAATAATAATAAAAGAAAACCTAATTCTAATTATTCTTCCAATTAGTTAGCAAAAATGATTAAATTAATTTTTATTTATGAAAATTAAGTTAATTTATTAAAACCTAAATCTAATTTTTTATGATTTTTTATGATTTAATGTAATCTATTAAATAAAATAAATAAGTAAAAAGTAGAAAAAAATAAAATATAAAAAGAAATAAAAATAATTGGGTCATGAGTCAGAAGTAAAAAGAGGGTGTGAGAAACCATTTTTGTTAGGCCCAAAATAGTTTTTGTTTGAATCAGAAAAAATAAAATAAAAATAAAAATGAGCCTGTAAGTTAGTAAAAGGGGGGGGGGGGGGGGGGGGGGGGACAAAAAGAAAGGGCCCAAAATAGAGGAGCCCATCGCCTATTTGAGATTCAGTGTTGCTGGCTCATGATGATGTATTATGGGCTTGCTCATTTGGTGCATTGGATTCAATCATGTAATGATCAGATGGTGACAAAGATGGGTGCAGCGTGCACTTATTGGACTTTCTTGCATTGAATATGAAATAAGAAAATATGAAACAAATAAAAGGATACCACTGGAGCTCGAACCTAGGTCCCTATAGTTAGAGGCGCGCGCTTTAACCACTGGGGTGGTGATACATCTGGTAGTTAAAGCACAAACCAATAAATATATTACAAACTCATTCCGGAATATTTGAATAAGTCATATTCTTCTTCCTCGCGCGCGCCAAGAACAATGACTCCATTTTAATTCTGTAACTCCTTCATTTCTCAACAATTTTTAAAAATGTAAACATGAAAGTAGCTTGATTTTTCACCACGAATTCAACCATATAACTTTTAAAAGCTAAATATCAAAGACTAAGATGAATTTTATTTAGTACCAAACAGAAACCTAATTTTTTCAGAAACTTCAACTTCAAAACTCTCATCACTCGGGCAAGATAAATGAAATGTAAGCACATGGTTAGCTTTAGGGCAATGATGTCTATATTTTTATTTACAAAGTAAACATTAATGATGCTTGTACAGAAAGTTCAAAGTTTAGAAAACTTACCTCAAAAGTGAGAATCGTGTTTGGAGTTGGAGCACTCCTGAAGATGTTGCGATGACCTGGATAGCTTCACTAAACTCCCGGGAAGCTATTGCAATGCTTACTTTGGATTGAGAGTACCTAGATTCTTTTGGAGAAGTCAAGTTGTAGAGTTGAGTTTTGAAAATGGTGGATGGTGATGGAGGGATTACATAAGTGGTTCAAGTGTTTGGATCACTTCTATATGGTGTATAGATGATGTTTGGGTGATTGAAATGGAAAACGCACAAGTAGATTATGAGTTTGATGTTCAAGGTCAGAAGTTTCCACAAAATGGAGGTTTGATGCAAATTCTGGTTTGAGGGAGTATGAGGGTGTTTCAGGGTTAATGAACTCGTGTTTGGCTTGCAAATAGTGCCTCTATTTATAGAGAAAGGTTGGAGGGAAGGAGCTGATCAATTTTGCAAGATCACGTGTTGTGGCTAGGTTGGATTGTAAATGAAGCAAGCTTGAAGATCATAGTTCCAATGTTAAGTACAAGGAAATCTAGAGTAGTTAGATGCTTTAAACACAATGCTTCTGACTTTTTAGATGGAGTGTGATAAGAGGGAACAAATTAGAGGCTCAAGGAGTTGACATTATGTATAAAGCTTGCTTTTCAAGAATGGCAATGGTGCCTTTCTTCCAAAAATGGAAAAGTGTCTTGGACAATGGCTCAAACACTTGGATAATGGCTCAATCAAATGCGTAAACATTAAATTATGGAGTGATTTGCAAGTTAGAAGGCCTGCAAAGCAATATTATGCAGCATAGCATGAAGATTGGATATCATATTCATCACAAAATGACCTATAATTCAAGAATGGATGCCCAACTTCATCTCTTCGAATCTCTTAGCTCAAGCATGATAAAAATGTGTTCTTGGACATTTTGGAAAGCTTGAAACATTGTCTACAACTTTCATGTTGACCACTTTGGCTAAATCAACTTGGAACTTGGTGAAAAATTGCCAAGAAGTTGGGACAAAGTATATAGTTATTAGAAGTTTGCTCAAACATTTTGCACTTACACAAACACTACTTTTCAAAAACAATTTCAAAACATTTTGTATACTTTCTCCATTATCCCGAGAAACATTACTAAGTTCTCCGTACTAAGGTATTTTCAAAACATTTTCAAACACAAAGCACAAAGGTATTTTTAAAATGAGCAAACCTCTAAGAGCCCGTGGAAAACCACGGATCGAAAGGATGCTAACACCTTCCCTTTCCATAATCTACCCCACTTACTCAAAAAATTATCAAAAAGGTCTTTTTATGTTCTTTTCACTCTTTAATTTGTTGGATAAAAGAAAAGTCGGTGGCGACTCTTGCTTACCGCAACATTTGCAAACACAAACGCAAAAAAACTAGTATATAATAGTCGGTTCTGCCACCGTATCACAGAGAGTCATTACAAAGTTGCCTGACTATTGGCATTTTCAAATACACAAAGCATTTTCAAAGTGAGCTAGCGATTAAGAGCCCGAAGATAACTACAGATGAAAAGGGTGCTAACACCTTCCCTTTTCATAACCTACACCCCGAACTCAATAAATCTCAAGGTCTTTCCTATTTTTTTCACCCTTTCCTTATTGGATAAAAGAAAAGTTGGTGGCGACTCTTGCTATCCGCAACACTTGCAATAAAATGTAAAACTAAAAGTCAGTTCTCCCACCATATTACAAGTAGCTTGAGGGTTTCTTCAACGAGAAGGACTCGACTACTCTGAAGTATTTGCTCCAGTAGCAAGATTGGAGACTGTTCGAATAGTGGTAGCATTGGCATGAAACCAAGGTTGGTTGACATTTCATTTAGATGTGAAATCGACATTTCTAAATGGTCCTTTAGACGAAGAGGTCTATGTCACACAACTGCCACAGTTTATGATTCAGAAGGAAGCAAGTAAAGTATATAAGTTGCACAAATCACTCTATGGCCTCAAGCATGCACCTAGGGCATGGAACAAGAAGATCGACTCCTACTTAGTCGAATTAGGATTTGTCAAATGCAAATCAGAGTATGGTGTCTATGTTCAGGTTATAGCACAAGATATAACAATCATTTACTTGTATGTCAATGACTTGCTGGTAAATGGAAATAGCTTGGAGAACTTTTCTAAGTTCAAAGAGATAATGATGAGAGATTTTGAAATATCGGATCTGGAAAAATTGTCTCATTTCCTAGGCATAGAATTTCAAATGTCGAAGTAAGGTATGGTCCTACATCAAAGGAAGTATGTCAAAGAGTTACTCAAGAGATCCAGAATGGATGATTCAAATCATGCATCCTCACTTATCGAACCAATGTGAAAGTTGGAGAATAATGGAGAGGAAGACAAAGTCGATGTAACTTTGTCCAAGCAAATCATGAGATCTCTGAGGTATGTGTGCAACAATCGACCTGATATAGGTTTCACAGTCGGATTAGTGAGCAGATTCATGAGTGAACCAAGAGTGTCGCACAAGAAGGCTGCAAGAAGAATTCTAAGATATTTAAAAAGATCAATATACTATAAAATTCTATTTCGACGAGATTCTGAAGGCAAAGAAGCAACAGTTACTTGTTTTTTAGATGTTGATTGGTGTGGAGATAAGGAAGATCGAAGAAGCACAACTGGATATTTCTTTCAAGTATTTGTTGTATCAATCTCATGGTGTTTGAAGAAGTAATTGGTGATGGCATTGTCATAGTGTGAAGCTGAATATATAGCAGGATCCTATGTTGTATATCAAGCAATTTGGACCAGATTTGTACTTGGAGAAATGGAAGTTGAAGTGAAGAAACATCTAGTGTTGCAAATCGACAACAAGTCTGCCATAATACTAGCGAAGAATCCAATTCTGCATGGAAGAAGTAAACATATCGAGCTAGGTTTCACTTCTCGAGAGAAAAGGTAAATCGAGGTGAATTTGAAGTTAGGCATTGTTCAAGTGAAGCACAATTGACCGATATTTTCACCAAAGGATTGAAGATCGACAAATTTCTGAATTTGAGAAAGAAATTATGAATAGTTCAGATCGACTATGATTAGCGTAGGTCAGACAACTTGAATTATGAGAGATATGTTGAAATATTAGATTAAATTTGATTAGATTTAATATTTAAATATAATTCAATTTATGTAAACTCAAGTCTAATTAAAATTATATATAAATAATATTAGTGTATATTCTTATTTTATACAATACAATTCAAATGAATAATATAATTCTTATTTTCTTTATTTTTTTTCCTGCTTAATAATAATGTTAGACTCACTGACAAAATAAAACTTTGTAATTTTAGTTATACAAAGAAAAAGAGAACAATTTTATTATAGAACTTTGTAATTTTAGTTATACAAAGAGAAAGAGAACAATTTTATTACTCTTATGGATGTTTAAGTGTGTAGATCTAAATGTCTATGTAAGAAAACAAAATATCTCTATAACAAAGTGATTGATTTCATACCTCTCGAATAAAGCGTTTATCAATCTTTGCCTATTATAAAATCATTTGTTTCAAGATGGTCTGATTTCATTCAATTTGTTTTATCTTAATCAATTTCTTTCAGTAAGAAACTAGACATAACATAAGGAGTAGAATAAAGTTTATACAAAAATAAACAGTAAACAGGTAACAAACTACACCGCTATTTTTTGTATGCTGCCCAAATGTGTACTCATTAATGACACTTTTATTTTTTATTTTTTGAAATCCCATGACACATTTATTGAATACAAATACAAATATTTAAATGTGAAGAGAAAGGATCAGTTAACATGCATGATACCTTCCTTACATGAAAGACAACTAAGCATAAGAAAACAAGCAATATCTTATTTATTCAAGAGCTCAACATAGACCTAACTCTTGTCTACTTTTTCTAATTCTTATGAATATTGAAATCAATAACATGCTCCTTCCACACATTGTCATCATCAAGATGATGTTCATAAAAGCTTACTTTCCCACTTGATCTAACTGTTAAAGCAGCACTACTCCTAGTGCCATATACACCCTGCAAATTTATATATTTATATAGATGAATAATTAAGTAAAAATTTCCACTAATGATATGATTAATTATTATATTTTTAATTAACTTACCAATGGTGTTTCTACTTGAACAAAAATGGAGCTAAGATTGAATTCCCAATCAAGTGAGCATATATTAGGTAACATGGTTTTGTCTGCTTTAACTTTGTCCTTCATTAGTTTTTTAATTACTTCCTTCACATTTATCTCAACTTCTCCATTTTCCACAATATACTCTTTAAATCTAATTCGAAGTCGTTGAGTCTGCAGAGATTTTGTATAAATAGATTGTGAATATATATAAAATAAAGATTAAACGGACAATAAATTGTGCTACTAAAATAAAAATAGTTGTGGAAGAATTCGTGTTTGAATAATTAAAAAGTGCGACGAAATTAATAATAATTAGCATGCTAAGAAACCTTATGCCATGGTGAATTTAACTTGGCGTTTGAAAGTACATGTAGGCCAGGAGGAACTTCTTGAATGGTAATGGGCTTTCCCTTGGGCCTGTTGGATATGTACACCATAGATTTTGAGGTAATGTCAGCAACGACTAAGTTGAATCCATTGTAATATTGAGCTTCTGTTTTTAAGCTTTCTGCAAATTCTTTGGGATTCTTGTTGCTCTGCCATTTATTAACAAAGTGAAGAAATATAAATTTATAATTAAGAGAGCTATCATCTCTCCCATCATATTAAAGAAACAAAAAATGTATATATGTATAGGGATCAAACCATGATCCAATAAACTCAAAGATTCAAATCAAATAACTAATTAAATTCGTTTGAATTTTTTCAATATATTTTAGATTCAAACCAAATCAAACAAAATTAAATCCTGTATCATTCAAGAACCAAACCAAATAATTATTAGTTTTTATGATTTATTATATTTTACACTATTAATATTATTTTCTTAAAAATATAGTGTTAATGTATATTTAAATTTTATATATTAAATATTTTAATAAGACAAGTGAAAAAAATAAAATATCTACTATATTTTATTTGTTTACAAATTTTATTAAATATTTTAATAAGGATCAAATATTATTAATTATTATTATTATTATTATTATTATTATTATTATTATTATTATTATTATTATTATTATTATTATTATTATTATTATTATTATTATTATTATTATTATTATTTTATTTTTAATATTATTATTATTAAAATTAATTTAAACATGGCATTTATAGATTACAAAAACATAGTGAACTGTTTACCTTGAGATTATGAGTGTACATGGTCAATATAAATTAAAAGAGTCACTTAGAAGAGGCTAAACACATCCTGTCATGTAATTTTTTTTAAAATATTCTTATCATATACTACTATAAGAAAATCCGATCCAATTTTAAAAAATCAGTGGAATTGTCGATTTTCAAAGATTTTTTCAATTTTATTTCAAATTTTCAGTTATTTTATCAATTCAATTGCTATCATATTCGTAATTATTTGGACCAATTGAAACGGCTCATTCAATTCAGTTTTTATCACCATAATTTTTTATTTTTGAAAACCTAACCATATTAATGAATTATACACATTTATATAATTCAACTCAATTAATAAATATCCATATTACTAAATTAAACACTTCATTTTAAGTTCATATTCTAAAATTTTAGAATTGTGTACCTAAATTTCTAAGGGTTTCGTTTGTAAATATATAAAATAAAATAAAAAAGGTGACTACTTATAATATACATATATGTGCAAATTAGTATATACCTTGAGAAACATGAGGGGTAAGTCTCCACGAGTTTTGGCCTGAGGGTGAGTATGAAGCTCCAAAACATTGGTAAGAAAAGCCACTCTTCCTTGTGAAGTACAAGCCAACCATGTCCCTCCTCCTACTTCATCTCTTCCTCCCACTATATCACATTCTTCCCACCATGACACTTTCTTCGTAGCCCTTCAATTAAATCCAAAAATTAACAATAATTAAATATCATAAGAAAAATCCATGCATACTAATTAACCTTACCTGTTGTGGTATTCGTCTCTATTGTTTAAAAGAAGAAAAGGATAAAGTGGATGAGATTGCCATAGAAACAAAGCTATACACATTGTTGCTTCAAATCTTGAATATCAATACTTCTTAGTAAGGAGAGTGTTATAATATATAGAGCAAAATATATTGGATTTATAGGCTACTTAGCTAGATTGACAATTTGATCCATTAATTAAAAGAAGCTAACTTTAACACTGCATGATCGTTACATAATTGTATGATCGATTGGTGGAGCATAAACCGATTAATTTGGTTACATGCTTGTTTAAATTGGAGTATATTGATGCTCATATTGCATCCTAGTCTGTATTTGCTTGCTGCTTTTTGTCCTACCACGATAGCTCTTAGCTGTGAACTCTAAATGGTTATAAACAAAACCAAGCGGCATTCAAGTATATCATTAATGTTCAACAAAATTAAAGCAAATTTTTTGGAAAAGACTAGTATAGTGCACCACCATCTACACCAAATATAATTTTAAAAAAAATGGAAAAATAAAGATTTTAGGAAATTAGGAGAATGTTTTTAAAATAAGATTGGATCGTTTGATTTAATCAGTTGGAATGAAAACTCAGTTTGATCAACTTATCAAAGATTATCGGTTTTCAGATCTTCGACTATCTCTAAGTTTTTACTATACAAATCCGTCAATTAATAAAGCTAGGTTGTACACTTTTAGTACTTCTACACTGTTCAAAGACTTATGTAGGATCAACTCCAAAAAAAAAACACCATCATATCCACTTCTTCAGTCATGTTGATCTTAAAATGATCAAACAACTTTTCTTTGATGGGAAGGTGTAGAAGGCAAACTACATCATCTAATATAATAGTCATCTTATTAATAGGGAGGTGGAAAGATGACGTCCCGTTGTGCCATCACTCAACAAATGCAACCTGCATGCCATGGTTGACGGTGGTGTACCCGGTAGCACATAGACTTACAAGTCTGAAGTTTTGGAGTGCAATTTGGAACCACTCATCCAAAGGCTCATAAAGATTGTGAATCTTTCTTGCATGATTCATAGATTTCAGACAATGATGTTCCAGTTGAAAATAAAATATAACAACAGGATCAATTGAGTTGAATTTGGTTATAAAATAAAAAATAAAACCATTCAAAAATATGCCTCCCCGTTCCAGACATGCGGAGCCACGTGCTCTCTAAAGTATATCAGTAAAGAAGTATTTATGGGTCCTCCTGAAAGAGGGCCTGCAAGTGAGATATCCTTAACAACTAGGACCTGCTGTGCAACTGGGGCATCCTCATCATAGTTCGCACCACTCTAGGATCCTGACTCCTAAGATAGTCGACTCCTAGAGATTGACGCCTTCCAAGGTGGGACAACTCTAGCCTGCTCGTGCTGACGAGCCCTTTCGCGAGGAGCAGATGTAGTTAGGGTGAATCACCCGAGTCTTAATCTTTCTTTGTTTTCAGTTATAGCCCTTGAAAAAAACATAACAAACTTGATTAGTATATGAGGAAGGAAATAGTTCGGATATGTATCTCGAAAAACCTGAAGCATAACACTTCGGAGATGCATATCAGAAAAAAGCTTTATAGCTTCAATGGCATAATTTTTTTTGCAACTGCCTTAACCATCCAAACTCATCCAAATCATATAAAGAGAGACTATACATAATCTATTTGAAATGATAATGCTATCTAGTGCATTAAAAATAATATATTTGAGTTAATACGTTAATCAATAATTAAAATAAGTTAAATGAGAAACTTACTCAAAAATGTATTGATGAAGGTGTAAAATGATCTGGTGTTGAATGTAGTAGTTAGAGGGAGTTGGGAATGACAAGATACAAATAAATATTATTTCAAAACTTGATCTTGAGTGGGAACTAGAAATGGGTAGAGTGAGGTAGAGAGAAAGTTGAGATTTTGAAAAAATGAAGAAGGAGAAGAGGGAGAGTTTAGCGTGAGTTTTAAATATGCTTACCTACTTTGAAGATGCATCTCCATACTAATTTTTTGAATTTAAAAAAATGTGTATTCGGAGATGTATCTCCAAACACATCCTAAAATCTCTTCGCAGATACATCTCCGAATTAACCTATAGTTAAATTGAAAATTTAGTGTGTCCAAAAATACATCTTCGAAAATAAAAAAACATTTTAAAATTTTCGCACAAGATCTAAAAATATATAGAAGGACGCAATGAAATATTGCCAACTATTGATGAATCAAAATTGGTGTAAAAAAATCACATTGAATGGTCCAAAACCTTTTAAATTAAAAACTGAATCCAATTTTGTGAAACTCTCCGACCCAAAGAAATGTGGTGCTCGAACAAAATACATAGTGCAACCCCAACATGGCATGGGTCATCAATAAAGAATACCTTCTTGCAATCTTTTGAGATTATAGCATAACAAAATCCAACATAGAATAATGTTGGTATTTTGACATAAAACAACATAAACTATTTAGAAACAATTTCACTTACCAATCAAATAATTAAAATAAAAGAGTAATAAAGTAATTTAAAAAAATACTAGAAAATTGGAAGTAACATTATAAAAATACAAGAAAAAGATGAACGTCCAAAGACAAAATTTGAAATTTTCCATGGTCAAAATATTTTATAATACCAAATGAATTACACGTTAAAACTAGTAGCAACTTGCACTATTTGTATCAAACTCCATATGGAATGTCATGTATTTCATCTTAAGGGTACTAATGTAGTTATTGTCATCTTCATTAGGAATTTCATCCAACAGTTCTACAAAGAAGAAAAAATCAAACACATTTATTGTTAGAAAAATGATTTAAGTCATATGGATTGAAATTTGAATCGTGAACGAAATCATTTTTTTATAAGTATTTCAAGCACTATCAATATGTCTTAGAGTTTAAACGCGTAAATATTCAGGATAATTCAGCCTTAATCGAGTTTGTGCAAGATCGACGAAAACTTGAATGTAGCGAGGAGTGTCCGGAATTTTAGTGAAGAAGATGTATGTTTTTTGTTAAGTTTTTCTGAATCCAAAATGCTCAATTTATAGGTTAAATTAGTGTTGTTTCATAAGGTTGCAACCCTTGATATAACACACACTTTCAGCAAAACTTTACCAAATGTTGCACTGTTTCGCCTACAATAACAGTTTTACTAATTGTTGCATTGTTTCATCTACAACAACAGTTTTTTACCAACTGATGTACTGTTTCGCCTACAACAACACTTCACAAAGTGTTGCCTTTTTTTTTTAAATTCAAAAAACAACTTTACTTGCATATTTTTCTTATCATTTTGGAACACACCTGCAATTATTAATTATTGTTAATAATTTATAACATTTATTAGAGTGTTATATACGAAGAACATCCATCAAAATTATAATGGTTCACCTTTCAAAATTTAAATGGTGAAGATGGTGTTGTGCCACAAAGATGATGTTGTTCGAAGAATAAAGTTAGAAGGAGATTACGTGAGGAAGTTGCTTGTCAGGTATAACACACATATTTATATTGATCCCATTAAGATAAGCTAAAGTTGGGAAATATGAAGGAAGTCATCGGAAAACTAAAAGTTTGTAAGGTATAACACACCTATTTATATTCATCCAAGCAATAGTCATCTCTTGAAGCTTATCCCCAAAGGCGTTATTGTTGTCCAAGTGGATGCTGGCACGATTGGTGGGGATGGGACCACTTTTAGGTGTGTGATAAAGGACCACAAGCAAAAGGTAATCGTGGCAGCACGCAAAATGGAGTTGGTGCGTATTGACCCATGTTTTGATGAAATGTAGGCCATTAGATGGAGCCTTAACCTTGTGAAAGATTTGTGGTTTGAAGGAATCCTCATTCTATTCGACTCCAAATGTGTTGTGGATTGCATCAACTCTACTTTATTTCTTGTGAACAATGATCACATTTCTATGGATTGTAGGTCTTTGTTAGGATTATTCAATTTAGCTTTTGTTATGTTCTTGAGCAGATTGTCTAATGTAGATGCTCACCACATGACCATTTTGGCCAAATCTGTAGGAACTAAAACTTGGTTTGGGTGTCTGTCGTGTGGTAGCACTGATGTTTTTGTTAATACTGTTTTGGCTTAATGAGAATTTTCAGTTGTCAAAAAAAAGTTGGGAAATGTGAAGGAAGCCATGGGAAAACTAAAAGTTTGACGTTAATGTCATTATCGTGAAAAGTATTGGCACAAACAGAGTCGCCATTGAATTTTATTTATCCCAATTAGGGAAAGGAAAATATCAAGAAAATCTTAAAGAAGAGAAAGAACATGGTCTTAGGACCAAGAGAAGTGTACGGAATTTGATTGTGTAAGGGGAAGGTATTAGCACCCCTCGCTTCTGTCGTACTCAATATGATCCACAATTGTTTTTCTAATCAAATGGTGTGTTATATCTAAAGCTTTCTTGCTAAGGGAATGCATGAGAGAATTGATATAGAGAAAAACAAAAGGTTTTTATTATTGTGTTTGCCTGAATTTTGCAACTCAGTGCCTACATATCATGGAGGAATCAGAACACCATAGTTCTTCTCAAAAAATTTTGTTTGTTGGTTGTTTTTAGTGGGCGATGTTACATTTTCATTCTAGTAGTTAATGTTGTCGCTCGACCTTCAGAGAGTCATGCGTTGTTGTATTGCGCAGAATGGAAATAACATGTTCTTTTTGAAAGGTTTTAAAGAAAAGCCCTAAGGCAAAAAGAGTTTGAATTGACTAAGTGTTTTTTTAGGAGAATACATCAAATGGTCCTCTAAGGCTGGAGATATCTGAGTACTTTTCCTTTAGTTTTGAAAGTATTCAAGTATGATTAAGTGTTTTTGTATTTTTTTATTAGGAAACAATATTTTAGTCTTTTAAACGAAAAAGAATGTAATGCAAGAGAAAAAATAAAGGGGAAAGATCTGCCCTAATGTTGTCATGCATTATGGTTCTAAAGTTTGGATCAAGAAAACTATAACCTAATTGTTATCATGCTTTGATTAAGAAACTTAAGGTCTAATTAATTCAATTTAATCAAGAGATTAAAAATGAATTAAAAGTCCTAAAGGAGCATGTGAGGCACAAGCAAT